GAGGCATAGGTGCAGAACAGATTTCCTGTTTGTTCTTACTTTGCTCTTTGTGACTGCCTTGCCTTCATGTTACTGTCTGAAGTTGCGTCATAACTGTTTCTGTTTTATTTGGAATGACTTCTGCGGACTGACCACGTGTGTTTAGGGAACCCCACCATCACTCCACGGAGAATCTTGCGCTCTCAGTGGTTTCACGACCCTTGGACATGTGGATCCTACAGCCACCTTGCAACGGGCTGCTCAGAGCAGGACCTGGACAATATGATGGAGCCCCTGCCTACCAGGAGATCAAACGCACAAGTACATTCATATTAATACTCTCACACACCCACTCACACACACACACACACACACACACACACACACACACCCTCTGACATACAGTCAGAATGAAATCTAAGCCCTAACTCTTATTTTTTATTTATTTGCAACTATTGTTTAGTTTTTGAATTAGTTATTCTTAAATAATGACATCAAGTGCTTTTTTTGTACTTTCCCTACACTCGTTTTCAGACCTGGGACCCACATGATGRTTTATTATGTCCTAATATTTAAAATCTCTCAAATAAAATAGTGTAGGCTTACATTTTTCTGTGACGATTACTAGATTTTTACAATCGTTTTTAAACCTTCTGGCTTTCCTCAGCCGCTGCAGGTGTTGTTTGCTGGGGAGGCGACTCATTCCTGCTACTTCTCGACRGTCCACGGAGCTCTTCTCACGGGGTGGAGGGAAGCCGACAGACTCATTTCTCACTATTCCTCGCTTCAACCGTCCGAGCTGTCCAAGTCAAAGCTTTGAAAGAAACATCTCCGTGGCACTAAAGGATCGTCTAATTTTGTTGTGATACAAAACTTTAATTTATGTTTAATACAAGACTAACAAWTTATAGCGTTCCTTTAAGAAACTGACATTGATTCAAATAAATGACCTAAGCTGCAACTCATGAACCGTGACATTGTTGTTTTGAATTTTGTTGCAGTAAAATACAAGGACATTAGAAGACACTCATACTCTTTCATTGTGCTTTGTACAATGACAATAAAGGCCTATCTAATCTAATCTGATCTAATCTAATCTAATCTACTGTCAATGCATTTTAAGCAACTGCATTAAGAACAATCTTACACATGCACTGCAGTTGTACAAGTCAAGTTGTATTTTTTAAACACAAGTGCAATTCTGACTAAATTGCATAACATCTGAGAAAATAATGTAATTTTTAAATACTAAAAATATTTTAAACAGTTTGCAGATTTCCTCTTTAGCACTCTAAATTGTGTTCTTGAACTGACTGAAATATCTGTAAATGAGTTTTACACATTCTGTATAATATTGTGTGGATAATTAAATAAAACAATCACCTGAAGTGTGTTTGGCCTCAAAACTTGTATGAATACATTATTTATCAGGCCATCCAGAAAATAGAAAACAGTAACTCCTAAAGCAAAATTTATACATTAATCATGTTTACATTTTTAAGACAATTTTAAAAATATATAGATATTTTTTTAATAATGCCAGGAAAAGTTAAAATGTGTCTTTTATAAAGGCAGTACCAAATCCTTATGAAAAATTTATACATTAATCATGTTTACATTTTTAAGACAATTTTAAAAATATATAGATATATTTTTAATAATGCCAGGAAAAGTTAAAATGTGTCTTTTATAAAGGCAGTACCAAATCCTTATGATTCATGTAGTTAAACGTTTAGCCAGCAGAGGGCGCAGTGGCGCCATTTAATAGACAAAGCTCCACTTATAGCATGAATGAAGAAGTCAACTGACCTGTAGCGGAACGAAATCGTTCAACAACGCAATCAAGTCGGAATGTAAACGGTGTAACACACCTGAAGTACTTTCGTCGCTTTTTTTTTTTTTAAATAAATAACAGGTAGGGGTTATATATATGTAAACTAGCCGTAGCCATGAGACTATATCAAGTGCTCCGTAATAATGTCGACAAATTCAGGACTGTTTTTGACTTTAGTGGACGGGAAGTGGCTCACTGGTTCCCCGGACACATGGCTAAAGGTGACACATTTACACATTTCATTCAGCTCCAGAACATGTAGTCTACTGCGTGTGTTTGCTTTTCTACACTCGCGGCTTTCTGGTAATCGTGTTTGTGTTTGCAGGACTCAAGCAGATGAACGCCAGCATCAAGAATGTCGACTGTGTCATAGAAGTTCACGATGCCAGAATATCCTTTAAGTGTCACTCTTACTCTGAATTAACTTTATTTTTCGAAAGATATAATTTAATTGGGATTGTGAGAAGAGTCTGCTTTGTCATGGGTCACTGCAGAAGATCATCTACCGCTACCTCAAATCATAACACCATCCGTCACACCAACATGTTTTTTTTTTCTTTTTACAAAGACACATTCACTTATTTTGTTCGATCAGCACATTATTTTCTTTTAATCTTACAGATTTAGCAGACCAATGCACACAAACAGTACAGTTACAAGAGACCAGGACAGCAACCTTCTAAATATTTGATAAGTACTAAGAGTTACCGCTGCATTTATTTTGTTTATTTTAACATTAATGTCCTWAAAGGAGTTACCACCTTGCAAGTCAGCATTTCTTTTATGACATTATAGTGTCTTTTTAAAATATKTTTTTAAAGGCCCTAACAGGTTCTGATTGTTGCTTTTCTTAACATTTAGCAAATCCCTTCATCTGGGAGAAACCCTATATTTCAGCGCACACTGAACGCGAGGCCACATCTGCTTGTTCTGAACAAGATGGACCTTGCCGATCTGTCCAACAAGCAGGTCAGAATGTTACCTGCTGCATTCAACAATCACAGATTAACAGCATGGGAAAAGTTATACTAWAATGTTTTTTTTTTATTATTATTTCAAACTGCAGAGAATCTTAAAGAAAATGGAAGAAGACGGGGTGAGGAACGTTCTCTTCACAGACTGTTTAAAGCAGGTTGACAGCAACGTCAAAAAGGTGACGGTCCTCTCCAGTATAATCTTTACATTTGACCGGCTGAAATCAAAGCAAAATTCTTACCATAAACATGAGATGGTTTGCTTTTTTTTTTCTCTGCAGTTGGTGCCCATGGTGCAGGAAATAATTAAGGACAATCCTCGTTTTAACAGAGAAGAGGTGTCCTTGTGTGTTTCACATTTTACACCAATCAGTGCACTCTGTCAACGTAAAATCTGTAAACGTGTGTGTTCGGCCTGAATCCTGCTTTGATTTGAACGGTTTATCTTTCAGAACAGAGATATTTCCCTGATGGTGATTGGAGTGCCCAACGTGGGGAAGTCATCTCTTATTAACTCATTGAGGAGAACAAATTTAAAAAAAGGTATTCTGGTGGGGGTGGAGAAATGTTTGCATGTTGTGACATGTGTCCACAAATATAAAAGTTGTGTTTRTTTAACGCACGTTTCAGGCCGTGCGTCTCAAGTCGGTGGAGAGCCGGGCGTAACCAGATCTGTCCTGACTAAGATTCAGGTGTGTGTAGAAACTGGTTTCGACAGCTTGATGTGTACACGTGTTAAACTCGTGCAGTATTTGTGTGTGCGTTTGTTCTCAGGTGTGTGCGAGGCCCTTGATGTACCTGCTGGACACGCCGGGAGTTTTGCCTCCGAGGATTGAGAGTTTAGAAACTGGCATGAAGCTCGCTTTGTGCGGTGAGCAGAACAGGGTTTTTAAATAGATTTATTACTTTCATTTAGGGGAAAAAAAATGCTACTGCTTTATAATTGAGTGGAACTTCTATTGCATTGTTTCTTCTATTTTAATCTATAATCCAGGAACTATACGGGATCATTTAGTGGGTGAAGACGTCATCGCTGACTACCTGCTCTATACTTTGAACAGACTTGGCATGTTCAGGTGTGGATATCTTTGTTTTATTGACATTTTTTTTATATTTTTTTACATTCTTGTTGCTGTGATTCCTCACTGTACGGCTGTTTATGTGCAGCTATGTGGAGAGATACGACCTGCAAGAGCCGAGCGATAACATACAGCATGTCCTCAAACGCATCTCTGTAAAACTTGGAAAGACTCAGAGGGTCAAAGCCTTCACTGGAGTGGGTAAGAAAAAAAACACCAGCCACATGTTGTCAAGTTATCCTTCTTATGTCACTTACTGCCTAAATTCACATTATTAAAACGTGTTTGTTCTTTGTCTCGTTCAGGAAATATCCCAGTCGTCATCCCAAATTACACGGAAGCAGCTTATGATTTTATCAGAGCGTTCAGGAGGGGAGAGCTGGGACAAGTAATGCTGGACTGATATATATATATA